TCACCCAATCAAAAATGTACACTTCATGCATGTTAAGCGCTGACCAATCATTGTAACTGCTAAGTGGAAAATCTCCAAACCTTGCTGTAACCTCTATAAAAACCCCGCTAATTTGGAACTCGGGGCTCTCAATCTCGATCTGCTGTGGTCGGTGACAATTGAGAGTCCCTGCTTAAGCTTAAATAAACAACCCTCATGTGCTTACATCGGAAACGGCCTCCTGGTGGTCTTTGGGACTTTGTAATCTGGGCACAACACTTCCTGTACCCAGTGACTGGAACACATTTTTGTATGTTTATCCAGAATACCAGCAAGTCCCTGCTGGCCATGAAAGGTGACACACACCTGTCATCCCAGCTACTTGGGAGGTTGAAGCAGGAGGACTACAAGTTTGAGGCCAGCCTGGGCAACTTAGCAAGACCTTATCTCAAAATAAAATTTTGAAAAGGGACTGGGGGTGTAATTCAATAGAGATGTAAGTTTAATATCGAATACCACAAAGAAAAAAGGAAAGATCATTCCTGCTCTCCCTCCAAGTGAGGTCCTCTAGGGGTTCAGGCAGAGCTTTGAGCCCATTTCTTCCTGGTATGTCTTTAGCCTCTTCCTGGGCTCTTATTTAGAACAAGATCCAGTAAGTTTAGTAAGTTTTGCAGCTCACAAAGAATTTACCATTTACTCACTCATCAGTAAGAGATACAGAGAGAAAGCTATAATTTTAACTCAGAGCTGGAGCCCCAGAGGTGGGAAACCTGTGTTCATTCATTCAATAAATTTATATTGAGCTCCTTTTGCTTCCCCACCCCCACCCCCATGCTGGAGACACAGCTTGGACCAAGATAGACAGATGTGGTTTCTGCTTCCTGGAGGGAACTTTACAGTGTGAGTGTGCATGAAGGGCGATGTAAACAAGAAATATGCAAAGACAATTTCAGATAGCTCTAAGTGCTACCTGAACCAATGAAACAGAACTGAAGTGGTCGAGAGGGCAGTGTTCAGTGGAGTAGTCAGGAAAAAGCCTCTCCTGAAGGTGACATTTTGGGAGAGTTCCTTTTTGGGGGATAGGGGGTGGGTTCTGAGTACTGAGAAAGTGGCTATGCCAAGATCGGGGCAAAGAATGTCCAGGTCTTAGAGAGAGGCCAAAGGCCCACGTGTAGGGAAATGCTTGTCTTTGAGGAACAGCAAATAGAGAACGTTGGAGTGAAGTCAGAAATGAGTGTAGAAAATGCCCAAAAAGGTAGGCCACGTCAGCTCCTATAGGGTCTGTAAGTGCCTTCAATCATTCATTTTCCCATTCATTCCTTTATTGTGTTTTTTTCTTTTTGGTACTGGGGATCTCAAGCTCAGGACCTTGGACTTTCGAGGCAGGCCCGGTGCCACTGAGCTAAATCCCCGGCCCTATTCATTCATTTATGACATATTTATTGAGCATCTGCTGTGACCCTATACTGTCGGATGTGTGGAGACAGATTAACTGACAAACAAGCAAACAAACAAAAAGACCAGTTACGATAAATATTAGGTGCCAATTTGCGCTTCTATAGTTCATTGCCCACCGAATGGTAGAGGCAGCAGAGATTTGCTAACCAAGGGACCTCTGCTGCAGCTGGGGGATGCTGGCGGGCCCTGGGAACCCAGGCAGCCCTTACTTGATTGCCTCTTTCCTTTCCCCTCAAGATGGCTGACAAAGGCCGAGCTGGGTGGGAAAAGGGAGGAAGGAGCACTTAGAGGGTCCACAGCGGGGTAACTAGCATAGGGACACTGCAGCGTCCAGGTGAGGATGGAAGTGGAGTAAAGTGGCGTCCCAGCTGCTGTGTGGCCGCGGCATGGGCCCGTCCCTCTCTGGGCCAGGCATCCAGATCTGTCTGTCTCTGGTCCGGATAGCTTGGAGGGTCGGGCGAGGTCTCAAGAGGAATGTTGGGGGACATCTGGGTTCCCCTCGGGGCCTGTGATCCGGGAAAGCCATTTAAGTGGCCTGGAGACCCGAGGCGGCAGCCGGGGAGGAGGGGCGGAGGGGAGGCTCCGGAGTGATTTCAAATTTCCCTCGCCTGCTCCCCCCCCCCCCGCCGCCGGGCCGGTCTGGGCTGTGAGTGGCTGCGGCGGGGGCGCTCCCCGGGTGGGGTGGGGCGGGGCGAGGGCCGTGCCGGGGCTGCAAGGGGAGTCGGCGCCGCCCCCCTGCCCACCCTCTGCAGCCGCTGGGCCCGCAGCGTCGCTTCTTCGCGGCAGCCGCCCCAACCCAGAGCACCCCGCGCGGACGAGCCGCGCCGAGCGCCCCCCGACGGACAGCACCGGCCCACTGGCGGGCGGTTAGCCGCGCCCGGCCGGCAGTGCGGGGGTTAATTAAACTGCCCAAGTAAACGTAGCGCGTCAATCGGCGCCGGAGATTCGAGAGCCAGGCGCTCTGGGCCGCCGTCCGCCGGACCGACCCGCGGCGTGACCGCGGCGGCTCGCCCACACCAGCCCCGCGGCAGGTGAGGTCCCGCCGCCCCAGGCACTTTCGGTCCCGTGGCGCCGAGGCCGTGGGCGGGGGATGAGGGCTCTGCCATGGGGACCCCCTGCGGAGCCCGGCCGGGCAGGGTGGCGTCGCGGGGCAGGTCCCCTTACCCTGCTTGGCGTGGCGCCGGGAGGCGGGGATGGGTCGTACTGGGACCGGACCCGAGGGGAAGGATTAGCCCCGGTATCCTCCAGAACCCCCGAGGAGAGGAGTTCGTCCGCGGAAAGGAAATATGCAACCTTTTGGGGGTCGGGAATCGGGGGAATGAGGTGCCCTCTGAAGAGGAGCGGAGGGAGAGGGGCTTTGCTTACCGGGCCGGCCGTCCTTACCTGGCCTCTGCCTTAGGGGGAGCCTCCTAGGGGAGGGGCTGGGGAAGGTAGAGGGGCAAGTGCTGGGGTGCAGGTGGGCGTCAGTCCCTGCTGGCTTGGATGGGGAGTCGGGCGAGAGAACTTCCCAACCCCGTACACGTTGGGATAGTGTCGGTACGGGCGGCAGGTGGGCTTGCTTGCACCCGCGTGTCAGGGCGAGTTAGAGGGGCGACTCGCAGGGGTCCCCCGCAGCGGAGCCCCTGAGGGCGCGGTACACCCGGCAAGGGGACGCCCCCGGAGGAGGGGCCTCGGTCGCCCTGAGAGCACCTGGCCCGGGAGGAGCCGGCCGCGGGCAGTGCTGCCTGCCCTGGGGCTCACTTTCCATTCTGAACCTTCTTCCGGGGTGAGGCTGACCCCACTACCCAAATTCTTTCACTGCTGGGAGCATCCAGCAACCCCAGAAGTCGAGCTTCGGTGCCCATGTGGTTGTTTGGGGGCGTTTGTAGAGCTTTGGCTTACAGGGGAGAAAGTGGAGGCGGAGAAAGTGGAGAGTGGGCGAGTTAGCGAGGGAGGGCTGCCCTGGGGCGCAGGTTCCTGCGGGAGCCTCACCTGGAGCCAGAGTCCTGGGCCTCCGCACGCCTACGCCTCCATCTCCCTCCCGCCCTCCGGGTCCAGGGGCTCGCGGCCCCTCTCCCTTCTCCCTCCCCCCACGGTGAGATGTGTATGAATTAAAGGGAATTAAGAACAGAGTATGAACTTTGAACTGCCCCCGGAGTTGTGGAGGTTGTGGTGTTTGGCAGACTGGTGGCAATTGTTTTGGGGAGCCAGCTCCTGCTGGGGCCCCACTTAGGAGGCTCTGAACGCTGACCTTTCTCTGCCCTCCCCCCCCAGACCTGCTGGGGCTTCTTGTTTGCTGGCCCTGGGAAGCCCCAGGTGCAGACATTATTTTTCAGAGCTGAAATGATAGCTTTTCTTTTTTTTTGCGGTGTAGGGATCATTCCCAGAGCCTCCTGTATGTTAGGCAAGAGCTCTACCAATGAGATACACCCACAGCCCCAAGGTGATAAATCTACTTTAATAGGGTTGGAATATAGTAAGCACTCAATAAAAGCTTGCAATTCATTAGCTTCATTAGCTATCACATGGGCTAGGCAGCCTGGCCTCCTTTGGTAAGGATAGGTCTCAGGCATGTGTTTAAGTCTTATTTCAACAAGTTTGTTGCCCTCTCTGTGCCTTAGTTAATACATCTGCGAAATAGGAAAAATTGTGTAAGAATGAAGCCAGTTTTATATATAATTTAACTTATTCAGCCCTCCATCTTCCTCAGATATCTAGATGTAATATCCTTTGGCTTGAATAACAACTCTGAGGAACAGTGCCTTCCGTGGAGTTGGTACTTAGTGAATATTAATATCAGTATGAACCACTAGCCCATCTTTTAAGGGTGGGCCTTACCAGAATTAAGGATAGAAGGAAGAGGCACTTCTGCTGGCCCCTGCTTCTCTTACCTTACCTAAGATAGTCCCCAGCCATGAAAGCTTCTCCAAATCATCTTTGTCTGTGACTGGGGAGTTGGCAGGAAGGACCGCTTTTGTTCCATTTTGAAAGGAGCCTTAGTTTTTTATGGGTTGGGACCATTTTAACCCCCCACCCCCAGCTCCCAGCTTGGGGCCCACAGTAAGGTGTAATTGCAGAGCTAAGAGATCCTGTACTTTTCCCCCCATTGGAGTAGAGAGGACTGAGACAAAGAGGCCAGGGCTGCGGCCAGCCACATCCTCCTTTAAGCTATAGGCAGAACTCCTACCCCTTTCGATGGTTGGGGGAGGGGAGGAGAGGATCTTGGCACTGCAGGGGGCTAAGGAAGGAGCAAGGTTGGGGTTGGGGAAGCTGCTTCCCTGACTTCTCTTCCTGCCACGTGGGGCCTGTGACCTATAGAAACTTGTACCCCTCATTGCTGCCCCAGGGACCTGCTTCCATTTTTTTTCCTTTTTCTTGTAGTGTTCGAGATGGAACCCAGGGCCTCCTGCATACTAGGCAAGAGCTTTATCCCTGAGCTATATCCCTAACCTCCAGAGGGGGCTTGGATACCTTCCCCAGGGAGAAATGACCTCAGGATTCCTTTGTCCTGGCCATCTTCCCGTCCTGGCTGCAACATGTCCATGCTCAGGAACCTCCAGTTTCATGTGACACAGTCCTTGCTAAATCGGAAAAACTTCCTGGGTCTTGTAATGTGGGCAGTGCTCTTTTTTCCCCCAGTCTGTTGTCTGTGCAGAGCCTTTGCCCAGTTGTGTTCATTTGGGTGAGGTTTTTAAATTTTATATCATACAGTCTGGCTCATTTCCAGGTTGATGGTGAACCATGGCTGAAGTATGGCATTCCTTGTTTCATTTGCACACCACGTCTCTGCCAAGGTCCTGGGCTGACTTCTACCTTCTTGTGAGGGCTGTCACGGGGTGCCTTTACAGATGATGCAACTGAGCCTCTGCGAGATCAGTCATTTCCACTTCATGGTGGTGAGCGCTTTTCAGAACATGTTTCCACCCATCACCATGGCAGCCCAACATTTTTCTTTCCAGAAGGATAGAAGCCCCATGCAGACTTTCATGTGTCTGGCCCTGGCTGGAGAGTGGCCCAGCAAATAGAGGAAGCTCGCACATGGGGTAGCTGTACTAATGAAGAGTGCTTCCCATCTGTGAACTGGGTACTAGTGACGCCTCTACCCAGCATGGTTGCTAGGAGGACCAAGTGGAATTTGGGGCTTTTTAGCTTAGCAAATTTTATTTGCTCATTCACAAAATTAGCTGGGGCTGGGGGAGCCCTAAGTATGAAAAGCTCATTCATTATTTGTGGTGTCCAAGGTGGCCAAAGGTAACAGACCAAAGGGGCCAAGGTCTTTACATTCCTGATCATTCCATATGTTTATTTGTTTTTTTGAAACAGTCTCACTGTGTAGTTCAGGCATGTCTTGAACTCACTATGTAGCCTGAGCTAGCCTCCAACTCACAGCAATCCGAAATCCTCCTGCCTCAGCCTCCTGAGTGCTGAGATTACAGGCTTGTGCCACCACACCTGGCTGAGATTTTTAAAAAAAACGTTTATGGCCTGGTGATTTGTTCAGCAATAAGAGTGCTTGCCTAGCATGTATGAGGGCCTTGGCTTGATCCCCAACACTGGGCCAAAAAATATATTTTTGTTTCTACTTTATGTTTTGGTGCTAGGGATTGAACCCAGAACCTCCTCAATGCCAGGCAAGCACTATACTGCTCTATACACTCACTCACCTGACTATTTTTTTGTTTCTGGAGATGGAATCCAGGGCTTCCCACAAAGTAGGCAAGCCCTGAACCACTGAGCTACACCCTCAGCCCTTTTCTAATTTTTATTTAGAGACAGGGTCTCACTTTTGGTCTTCCTGCCTCAGCCTTCCGAGTACCTGGGACTACAGGTTCGTGCCACCACACCCAGTCCCTCCTCCCCCCTCTTCTTTTTTTTTTTGGTACCAGGGATTGAACTCCAGACCTTGTGCTTTCGAGGCAGGCGGTGGAACCACTAAGCTAAATTTCCGGCTCCCCCTTCTTCTTTATGAGTAAAAATTCAAATTTTAAAGTCTTCAGAAGTTTGGATGGTTCCTATAATCTCATCATCTCAAGGTAATCACTGTTTTGCCATTTTGGGGCTTCTCAATTTCTTCTAGAAAAGGAGAAAAATGCAGGTAGAACCAGGCAAGACTTTCCTATGAAAAGGGATATGCATTAAGTAATACAGAGATTGGCAAGGAACTTGGTCTCAGTTGTTACTTTTGTTTTGTTTCAGACAGAATCTCACTGTTGCCCAGGCTGGCTCTGAACTTCCTCAGCCTCCTTAGTGCTAGGATTATAGGCCTGTGTTTCTTTCTTTTTTTTTTTTTTTGGTACTGGGAATCGAACTCAGGGCCTCGTGCTTGCCAGGCAGGCGCTGTGCCACTGAGCTACATTCTTGGCCCTAGGCCAGAGTTTCTGTGCCTGACTTACTGCTTTCTTTGAGCTGGAATCTCACTGTGTAGTCAGCCTGATCTTGAACTCACTGAAGAGCATTCTAATCTTTGATATTCCTTCCTTGGTTGATTGATTGATTGGGGGGGTATTGAACCCAGGGCCTGAACATGCTAGGCAACTGCTTTACCACAGAGCTTCATCGCCATTCTCAATATTGATTGATTGCAGAACTAGGGATGAAACTCAGGGCATTTGTACTGTGCTACATACCCAGCTTTTTTTTTTAAGTTTTGGAACAGGATCTAAGTTGCCCAGGCCAGGCTTGAATTTGGCAATCTTGTCTCATGCTCCCAGAGGGCTGGGATTACAGGCTGCACCATCATGCCTGGTTCTAATATTTATTGTTTTCTGGTTTTATTTTTAATATTTAATTTTACAACATCTACCTCTATTTGAGCTAGACCAATGATTGTTTATGGGATTTAGAAGCAGGTGGATTTGGGCTAGGGATAAAAGCTCGGTATCATGGGTTCCATCCCTAGCACTGCCTCCCAAAAAGCCTGATGAACATTTTTGTTGTGCAGTGAATTCAGTTTGTCTTTGGTCTCGAAATAAAAGTTCTGTACTACTGAGTCTTATGTCCAGATTAGAGGAAGTTTCCAGTGCCCTGCCTGAGAGATACAGGCCTGGCTGCAGGGAAAGGGCAGGGAAAAGGTTGCAGGGTAAGGGTCCTAGGGAATAGAGACCTTAGTCTAGTTCTCTCCTTTTGGCCCAATCTATAGTCTCTTCTGGGTTTTTGTCCTGGACTTAGGCTGGGTGGAGGCTGTCTGCAAAAAGCCTGTGGGAGGGCTCTGGGAGAGGAAGGTCTTAACTTTTTCAGCCCCCGTGCAGCCCTACCTTCTCAAGTAATCACCATTTGCTTCTTGTTGTAAGCATGCAAGTGCGCATGCTTGCTGTGCTTGCCCCAGAGCCTGGGCAGACACCCAGGCCTTCCACTGGACTCCAGCTCCTGGAGATGGGATGGTAACTTCTTGGGCAGTGTGTGCTGGCATCCTGGCTTCATGCTTGTGGGCTGTGTCCAACATCTAAAGGTATAACAGTGGGCATTTCCTCGAGTGGGCCTCCAGTAGCTGCAGCATTGACAACAAAGGAGACAGGATGAACTGAATGGAACCAGCCTCCGTGGCGATGAGGTAGGATATTTTGAGTGTTAACTAAAAGGGTAGATCCCTGATAGGCAGGTGCTGCTGGCAGGAGTGGGCTGTCCTGTGTTTCGTGGAAGGCAGTTCGCAGTAAGACTCAGACAAATCTTGAGCAAGTACTGTATAGAGGTATTGACAAAGTCTTGATCTCTTAATGCTCCTGTCTCTATAAGGTAAAGAGCAGTGTAGGTTTTAGGCCTGAACATACTTTGTTAATTTAGTCTTTGTTTTCTGCGACCACTCATTCCTTACCTTCTTGGCAGCTCCATAAGTATCTTTGCCCACCTTTTTAAAAATTATTTTTAAATTAACACCTTCATTGTACGAATTAGCAGTATTCCATGCATGGATGCAGTGTCCACTGATCAAATGCAACCACTCTTTTCAACCCCACCTGTTGGGGTGCCTGAATCCCCAGTGCCTAGCATGGTTCCTGAAGTCTAGCAGACATCACCTGAAGCCTGGATGAGAGTGGTTTGGAAGCAGAAGGTCACTGAAGGGCATCTCACAGCCGTCTGTCTGTAGGACCCCTCTTGTGTGGAACAGATGGCTGTGGTGAAAATGAGTGTCTACCTGCCAGGCATGCCACCTGCTCTTAGCCCCCGCAGCCACCCTAGTAGATATATATGACTAGGAATCAGCTGTGCCCTGACCAAAAGTTGTGCTTGAAGTGTTGAGCCCTAGCTGTTTTTTTTTTTTTCCTTCAGTACCGGGGATCGAACTTGGGTCCTTGTGCTTATGCAGCAGGTGGCAAAACCACTGAGCTAAATTCCTGACCCAAGCCCTAACTTTTACCACAATGTGCTTAGGTGACATTGTAAGTCTCACCTGTGTCCTAGAGTTTTTGGTCCTGAGCTATGAACACCGAACAGAGGTGGAGAGACCATAACTAACAAGGAGTGGAATCTTCAGTGAAATACTCTTGCAAATGTCTTTTCTAGGCTTCTGCCTCCACCAGGCTCAAACCCATAGAACTACAGGGTACACAAGGTGTGTCAGTCAGGTCAAGAGGCTGAGGCACAGGTCTGTGCTAATGCCACTTTATTGTGTGCAGCCTGCAGGGCAAGGACCCAAGTTCGATTCGTGGTACCAAAAAAAGACCCCCCCCCTCAAAAAAAAGAGATAGGCAGATCTGAACCTCTCTCCAGGCAATGTGGCCAGTTTTTAAAAGGTGGTTATTGTGAGTCATCTTGGATTTTGTTTTTAGCTAATTGCAGCAAGCCATTTCCTTACCTGCAAGCTTTAAAAAAAATTTTTATACAGGGCCAGGCATTATAGCTCAGTGGTTTTGCTGCCTGCTGTGCAAGCGCAAGGACCAGAGTTCAATTCCCGGTACCAAAAAAAAAAAATCACTCAAAAAATTTTTATACAGGCTCTCACTATGTAGCTCAGGCTGGCTTTGATCTCAGAATGTAGCCCAGGCTGGTGATCCTCCTGCCTCAGCCTCCTGAGTACTGGGATTAAGGTGTGTGCTACCACATCCAGCTCCTATAGGCTTTATTTTGATATTTTTCTTGGTAATTTACATCAGGTGATCAGGTGGGGTTGGGACATACTAGGCCTTGTTAAGAGAGTCTGACTTTTCCTTGTGGGGGAAAGTACTAGATTTCTGCTGGGCATGGTGGCTCATGCCTGAAATTCTAGCACTTGGTTGGCTGAGGCAGGAGGATTGCCTCCTGATTGAGGATTGAGTTCAGGGTCACCCTCCTGAGACGTTAATTTTTACAGTGAGAGAAGAAAAATGCCAGAGAAATATGCCCTAATGCATATGCTGACATTAACAACCCTGTTGTATTATGCAGGCTTGCTTGCTTGTTTTAAAATAACAATAACTGCCTTGTTCTTTGTCCCTCCTAGTAGTGTTCCCTATGGTGGCTGCAGGGAGTTCAGTTCCCTAACATATCAGTGGCCACTTTGTGGTTTTTTTCTCTGACCACCAGGGCTGCAGAGACCACTCTTGCACCACAGGAATCTGGGTGGGTTCC